TCTACTCTTAATAAACTTCACAAGACTCATACTGAATTAATATTGTTCATGCTATCAGACAGTAATACAGGTAGAATGACTACAAGCATGTGCCAAGAGCTGTTGCTGTGGGTCTGCCATACAGTCATTGCCTGTAGCCATGGCACGAGTTTAAGGAGGAACATTCTGGGGTGCATTAAAAAGAGCGTGGCCAGCAGGTCGAGGGAGGTGATCCTCCCCCTCTACTCTGCCCTGGTAAGGCCTCATCTGGAGTACTGTGTCCAGTTCGGCTCCTCAGTACAAAAAAAACAGGGATCTCTTGGAAAGAGTCCAGCGGAGAGCCACAAAGATGGTGAAGGGCCTGGAGCATCTCCCCTATGAAGAAAGGCTAAGTGATCTGGGTCTGTTTAGCCTTGAGAAGAGAAGACTGAGAGGGGACCTGATCCAGGTCTATAAATATCTAAGGTGTGGGGGGCAGAGTGGCGAGGCCAGACTGTTTTCAGCAGTGTGCGGAGACAGGACAAGGGGAAATGGCCAGAAGCTGGAGCATAGGAAGTTCCGCACCAATGTGCGCAAGAACTTCTTTCCGGTGAGGGTGACGGAGCACTGGAACAGGCTGCCCAGGGAGGTTGTGGAGTCTCCTTCTCTGGAGATATTCAAGACCCGCCTGGACGCCTACCTGTGCGACCTGGTGTAGGGATCCTGCTTTGGCAGGGGGGTTGGACTCGATGATCTCTGGAGGTCCCTTCCAACCCCTACGATTCTGTGATTCTGTGATTCTGAGTGTTTTGACAGATGAATAACTTGTGTCCCTGAGTATCTCATTAGAACAGGAAAAAAAAAACATAATAAAAAACTTCATACTTTCAAACTTACTTCAGGAAAAAAAAAAAAAAAAAAAAAAAAAAACTACAGTTCATTTTTGTTTTGGTGCCCCAACAACAATAGGGAATTCCTGTTCAAAAATATATATTTAAAAAAAAAAAAAGAAAAAAAAAGAAAGGGATTTAGTCCAGTGGAGTAGACTGTTACAGGGCATACCCACTTGTAACAAAAAATGAAAGTGGAGATGGGACTTTACTTCCCAAGCTTTGTGCAGCAGCATAAATTAAGCCATCTCATTCATACATGTGGTCCTTTCCAACCCAGGCCATTCTAAGATTCTATGATTTGGCCTCATGTCAACATCACAGTACAGCCCTACACAGCCACAGCCCCGCAATCAAAGCAAACAAATCATTCTGTGTATAAATGTGATCCAGACTCATTGCTTAAGTTAGTGAATTTGTGAATTCCTGGGAGCTGTTGAAATCCTAAAAACACTAACAACTGCTTTTCAAATAAAAGTGCAGTGATTAACATTTGTGCTGACAAACATTTTTCATTTTTACATTTACATGTTAGAATTGCTACATGTTCTGTATCATTCCTCCTCCCTTACTAAAGGTAGATTTAATTTGATTTCAGATTAAAGTCATTACCCCTTGTCTCTCCTGTGCTGCTGATGTATCTCAATTTGAGAAAAGTGCAGAATCGTTCATCGAGTAGGATTTCTTGACTTGGCCAGTTCAATTTTAAAGCACTCCTATCTGTAACTTCAACCAGCAGAGAGATCAAATTTGGTCACATCTTCTGACAGTCACAACTACCCACATTAGCTGGGAAAATATTTCTCACATTGTGCTTAGTTTGCTGGTTCCTACAAAGGAGTGGCTGTGAAGATATTTTCTTCCTATCTCTCTCTATTTTTTTTTTTCCCTCTTTTCTTGATGTGCCAAAAGAAAAGGGCTTGTTTGGCATAGTGCTCTACATCATTTATGGTCTTTCTGTATCATTTCCAGAGAAAGAAATAGCTGTTGACACTGATTTAGAAATTAGGATTAAACTGTCAGCATCATAACTGCCAACCAGTTGAGCAGATAGTAAAATGATGGAAAGTGAGAAGACAGCCTTATCTTAGGCAGAGTATATCTCAGCATTGTATAGTTTCTTCAGCTGGAATCCATTAAAATGATAGATTGTTGTGTTTGTGGGTTTGTTTAAAGAAAAAATTAAAGCAGCTAAATTTTTTTAACTGGGTACTGTAAAAACTTCAGTACTTATGTTTTCTCAGCTGTTCTCTTCACCAGAGATGCTTCATTAGCAGTGGCAATTGTGATAATTTGTAAGAGGTGGGAGAAAACGTATGGAGGAGAGACTGGCTTGGCTGACTGGGCCATCCAAGAAAATCCTCTCTGATATTTAAACAGCTGGTTACTGTCTGTGTCTCTGAAGAGACACTAGGAGCTACAGGAACAGTCCCTTCTCTTCTTCCACTCATTGTTCCACATTGGGAAGATTCCATAGCTGACCAACTGAGAGCTGAGATGCCAGCAGCAGTGCATGGCTGCTCGGTGTAATTTCCTACTTACTTCTAAGGTATATCTTTTCACAGAGGAATTGTTCTCACATTAAGTAAGCATTCCATATCCTGGCATGAGTAGATGGTCTTAGCTACAGACCTTCTCCAAGAAAATGTAAGGTGCCTTCCTCCTCAACTCTCTCATTAGCAAGATAACAGCTCATTATGGAAATGACTGTTTTTCTTCCATTTTTGACTGTTCATGAGTATTTCCCAGCTCTCCCCATTGTGTTCTTTTGTCCCTTTCATGCACTCTCCTATACAAGTTTTGATTGAAAAGTTTTCATAAAAAGTAGAAACCACTTTTTTTTTTTTTTTTTTTTTTTTTCCCAGCAGTACCTTTTGTGTATTTAAAGCTGCTAGGATCATCATCAGTATGAAAAGGGCCAACATACATCCTTCCTTTCTTCAGTCATCTTGTCACTGTTCTTTCCTCTTCTCCAAGTAGCATAATAATGCACTGTGTGTTCTGCAATTATGAGTTAAATTTGAAAGAAATTTCAGCATTCCTAAAAACAAGAAAGGATACTTTTTCCATCCCAAACTAACAGTTGGTAAAATGATCATGTGATTCCTTATTTCATTCTTGCATAATTCACTCTTAAACTTGAAAATCTCCATCTGTCATGGGGCTCAGTGAAAGGGTAATACCTCAGAGTTGGTTTCCATGCATCTGAGAAACCATTATGGCTTCCTTTATCTTTGTGGTCCATTTTGTTTAGACACCTAAGGGTGGGTGAGTCCCAGAAGCTGTGAGCATCCATGCAGTAATCTCTGTCAGGCTCCTCTGGATCGGCCTCTTCCAGAGCAATTTGCCAGCAGCCTTGGACTGTAAAGCAGAAAGAACAATTAGGTCCTCTCCCTGCCCTGTAGTCACCCCTCTGAATTTCCAATGACAACTTATTCTGAAAGCCCTACATCTTCTTAAATGTCATATAATGCAGCATCAAAGTTCATATCCAGCTGTGCTCACTATTTCTTTTTACACCCTTCAGATCCAAATCTGTTGCTAACTGCATTTTCAACTTTTCACAGTTCTTGGTGCTTTTGAAGTGCCACAATGCCTGTGCTCCCCACAGCCTATTTCCTAACCTGCTGGGCACTGATATCAGGGACTGAGAGCTTCTTTGTCCCTAATCCACAAAGGAATATATCGGTTCTTTCTTTATGCATTTCTGAGAGAGCTCCGTCCCTTGGCCTGTGCATTTCTTAATTTACTCTTAATATTCAGTGCATTTTTCTACAGGCACTTAAAATTCACTCTTAACTTTCTTCACTGCAATCAACATTCACACAGGGACACGTGCATGTGTCTTGAATTGTCATCTTATTAAAACCCTTTGCTCCTTTACCATTTCAATTACCATTTTGTATAATATCATTTGCATTTGCATAGTACCTTCACCCAAAAAAAAGCAGAAGTTTTTATTTTCTTTTTATTAATGAGAAAAATAGAATCAGGGAGATTAGAAAGGTATCTTTGCAGCTCAATACAACAGTACGGTGTCCAGGTCTTAAGCTTAATTGCATTGGGAAAAATACTGTAAGCACAATGGATAGACATGTAAATCAAAGTGATATAAATCACAGATCTAAATCATGGATTCTTCATTTGAATTACTGCTTTTAATCTTGTTTTGCATTTGTGCCTTTCATTGTTATTCTAAAAATGTTTGCTCTTACTGGTGTGCATAATCAGTCAGACACATACATTCTCAACTGCACATGACCTTTATTCCAGCTGGGTATTTCTTACTAAGTACTGGTCACGTAAGTTTTTTAAGCAGAAGATTTCACACCAAACTCTATGGTAGAAACTTTGACTTGCATTAGAAAATGATAAAGTACATTTTCAATTTTAGTAGGTGAGAGATTTTTTGTTTGAATTTGTAGCAAGCTGAATATATACTCACATCGCAAAAATTGAGAATTAAAATTATGCAACTGGTAAAACTTTTTTATTTACTTATGTATTTTTATTCATTTATTTAAAACTTATTTATTTTCATTTTATGTCTAACAGTATAATTTATTAAAACATACAGTAGCATCGCATTAGTATTAACTGCACTTAATGAATTGGAAGCTTGGTTCTTGTCACTACAAAATAGATTTTAGGATTTCAAATCTGCAGTAGAGGTTTAATGAGACTTTTCAAAAGTGCACTAACAATCAGGTGCCTGCTTCCAAAGAAATCAATGGATGCAAGGTGACCTGCTGATTGTCTTGAAAATCTCCAGAGGCATCTGTTTACAAATATTCTTAAAAACTCAAGCTGGAGGCTTTCAAATTTTTGAAACGAGTTCATCCTCACTTGCTCTATTAACGGATTTTGCAGTACCAAAATAGGCTGTCCCTTTCAATTAAAAATTATTATTATGAATAAATATTATAAATTATTATATATTAATTATTCATTGTTATGAATTGTTTGGAAAAGAAGTATGTGTTCTCTCTACTCTTGTCTAAATGCAACACAGAGTTATATGGTCAAAAGTTTTTCTGCAGTCCTAAAAATACTTAGAGCTAAAAAAAAAAAATGCTGTAGAAAATATCTTTTTTTTTTTTTTAGTTTTTAATACTCTGTGAGTATACTTTTCATGATGCTGGGACTTTTCAGGATGGTGCTGGTCCAGCAAGGAGAGAGGATATGGGTCCACTGCAGCCGGAAAAGGGAAAATGGATGTGATCCTCTGGAAGCCATGCTCTAAGTGGCCATCTCCACTGTCATGTAAGCTTGGCATGTCTGTGCCCCCCAGTGTTTGGGCTGTTAGGCCTGGTTGCTGATGGCAGCCAGTTGCAGCTTGCGTGCTGGTCCACATGTGTGTCAGGCCCAGCTAAGGACCAGCAGGTTGCTTCCACATACAGCAAGCCAGGGCCCTGACTTGGGGCACAGCATGGAGTTAGTGCTACCTGTGTGCTTTTGATGAGTGATGGGGACATGCCAGTGGTGTGGGTGCCCTCTCACAAGTACAACGGTTTGATAATTGGAGACATGTTAGTTAAAGCTGTATGGGATATTTATTTGCCCAACGTCATGAGTTTTACCAGACTTCCTAACACATCCTTTTATGTACAGGAAGGTCACATTTCTGTGAAATGTTTCTCTTTTTTTGGCTCTGTCTAGAGTTCTATAGTAAAAGAAAAGTGTGTTTAAACTGTGTGCTATTTCTTCCATCAAAACAAAGGGTTGCAGGTCCTTGTAGCACTAACCTGTCTTTTTACAAATCAAAGTGAGTTTTCACCACACCATGAGAAATTGTGTCTTCCTTCTAAGAGCTGCTAATTAGAGACCACTAGACATGGCAAAGCCAAGCTCAGCCTCCTGCCTCCAGGCTCAGCTGCCTCCACAGAGCCTTGCTTCCAAAATTTTTATCATGACAAGGGATGTCTCAAAAGCCCCATTCAACCTTTCATTGTACAGAGATTAGAAAGTGCTTGCTATTGAAGAACCTTTTTATGATGTAAAAATTGTTATGCAATGTACAAAGAAAAGTTGACATTTCATGTTGACATACTAAGAATTATTATTTCATGTCCAACTGATAATTTTCAATAAATTCCATTTTATTTTAAAGAATGATATTTTAAGCACTTTAGAATAATTCATTTTTAATCAAAAGAAATGTTTAATTATGTTCTTTTCTCTTAGCATTTGGGTTTTTTTCCTACTCTACATTCTTCTACTTGTAGTGTGCTGCAAATGCAAACACTTGTTTTATTCCAGGTTAAGCCATTACAACGTTTCATTTTGACAGATCTTTGGGCAAATCACAGTATCTGTTATTTATAGAGCTTGTCTGTTAAAGCAGTAAGTGATATTCACTGCTCATCACTCTAAGGACAAATTGAGGCCCTAATCCTGTAAAGACCTACCTATTTTTATGGGCAGAACTGCTTACTGAGCATAAAGTTAATCATTTTAAGCTTGTAAAGCACTAGAGATCTTTGAATGGAAAGCATTAGAGATGTGTAAAGTAGTATTTTGACATTCAAACGTTTCTCCCTTGCTCTGCCTTTTCCTTCTGAAAAATAGGAGGTCCATTCAAAATGATTTTGAAAAAAAAAGAGAAAAAGAGAATCTTAACTCTGCTTTTTTTTTTTTTTTTTTTTTTTTTTTTTTTTTTTTTTTCTCCATTTTATGCAGATATTGTAGCACTGTGTGCTCTTGGTATTTGTTATACTTCAGTTTGAAATAATGTCTGTCTGCTCAATTCAATTCAACTACAGATACTTTATTCTAAGCCTTAGTTTTAAAATACCAAATGCATAGAAAGGAGAAGAGATGTGCAAACATGTAGAAAATTATTCCTTTAATTCAAAAGATATTCTGAGTAAGGCTCTTTCTATAGCTGTGATAATTCCAATTGCTCTCCTATCTGTTCTGTTCAGAACACAGCTCTGAGAATTAACAACCAAACTGAACAACACTATGTTCTTTGTTAGCTACCTTCTTTGCATCCTCTCCCACCTGAAGTGACTAGGAGTGTGCTACTGCTGTAGGCTTCACTAAACATAGTAGCTTAGGCGATGCTTTTCACTCACTTTGCATAAAGAAAAAGAAAATCATATACCATCCTGAGAGTTTTTTAAATTCAAACTAGTGAGATAGAATGAAGCTCTAGCTAAACCTCAGTTCTGTCTCAACCAGATCCTGAAAAAAATATATTTGAAATAAGAATGGGAGATGTTAGACTGAGCTTCCACAATTCCATACGGCCATACCCTTCCTGTCTAATTCTTTCCCTTTTGGCTCTATTTCTTTTGCTCTCATTTGCCCACTGTATTTTGGCAGCACTTTCTCAGCGTTCAGTCAGGGAGAGATTCAGACATACCAGTACAGTTCTGCTTTGCTAGGAGCTGGCATGTGGCTTAAGGTGAGATAAGGCATGATACCTGATAGACACATCATTGGTGGAGGTACAGAACAGTTGTTAACTAAATGTATTATTCCCATGCCGGACAAGGCAGAAATAGAAGTTAAGATAAAAAGCATTCATCCAATTGGGAAGTCTGAGAGCCATTAGAAGCTGTGAGACAGCCAGCTGTAAATCCGTGTCATTGAGCTGTAAAATCAACTGGACTTTAGCATAGGCAGTATCGGGTAGCTTCTGCAATCCCAGTGTTTCACTTGTGCAAAGCAAATCTTGTAGGGAAGCTTCATCTCAAGGCAAAACTCTTCAATTTTGTCCATAAGGCAGGACTTTAGGTTTAAGTTTATGTTGGAATCGCTGATCATTATTGGGGCATTCAAGAGTTAAATTGAGCTCTATCAACTGAGATCCACAGCATGGCTCTGAAGGCTTGCCTTTATTTGCCTGTGCAGCTATGCCAGACTAGTGTGGCTGGCAGAAGCCCCAGTACAGATTCAAGACATGCTGACAGAAGGAATTTTTTGGCTGGAGCTGCACCACATTCCTGAATCGCATAAGCAAAGACAGCGTTTTTCTGCTGACGTAGCTGTGCACGTAGAAGAGGTCTGCCGGCACAACCAAGAGAATGAGAAATGAAAATTTATTTTTGTATTTAAAAAATAAGTATGTATCACAGTGATTCTATAAATCTCAAAAATCTGAAGGCAAAAATGCTCTAGAACTATAAAATAAATTAAAAATTAAATATTACAATTTATATATCTCATTATTTGTAGTGATGGAGAAGCACAGCTCATGACTTACGATTTCTCACAAGTAGCAGCACTGCAATTTGATTCATGTGCCCTGGAACCAATGAAGTCAGTATGGTTGTGTGGATGTGTCTCCTTTCTCGGAATGGGTCAGGGTGTGACCTGCATACAATAGTCATATACAGGTACAAACAACTTACTCTTTTCTGGTAAATTTCAAGAACTAAAATGAGTGTTGGTACCTCCTTTCTTAAATACATTCAGAATTGTTTGTTAATCAACAAGGACTTTTTAAATTAAAAATTAATGGCATAAATAGGTGAGCAAACAAAAAAAACATCTTTGTACGTCCACAAAACATCACTAGCAACAATACTAGTAACATTATCTCATGTGAGAAGATTGGGGTATTTTAGCAACTAAAGGAGAAATGCAGACATACGGCTCGCTCATTTGTATAAATAAATACATTCCTTGATTTATTAATGAAGATAAAAATCCTGTTGAATTGCTTATTAAGCAGAGCTTCAATATCTTTTGTATCTATAAGTGCCTGTACTTTAAAGAGTTAGAAAGTCAATATATGAAAGATGAAAACATTACTCACTAGTCTGTCACAGCAGGGTGACCAAGTCTGTTCCTGTTGGAGCTGTCATTGCCATTGCTACCTGATAAAGTATATTCAGAGACTGATATAAATGTCTTCATGAAATAATTTACCATAATTGACAAATGAAAATAAAAGTATCAATTAATAATCACACGCATCAAGGTTCTGCTGCAAATACAAGTCTTTCATTTTAGGGCACATTTTAAATTTACTGTGTATAAATATGAAAATATCTATTTAAACCAGTTTTGTCACCAATATAAACCAAGGATATCTTCAAGTTAGTTAACACTGTTATTGAATTGTGTACCCACTTAAACTAAAAGTTAAAAAATGTTTTTTTCCCACATAGGTTGAATAGCATGCTTTGCTGCTAATAAGGCACTCAGACTCAACTGTAGGTTAAAACAGTTGAGAGATTTTTAAGTCCAGCTTCACTTACTCAGAATAGAAACATTTTTAGTTGAAACTTTGGTTAAGAATTGTTTTATTTGTTTTGGATTTGTTGTTTTTTCCTTCATAATGTGTTTCAGCAATAAGTATTTCAATCATTTTAAATAAGGAAAGATTGAAATACTGCTCCCATTTTATTAAGTAGTTCATATAAAATATAAACAAGTACACTGATGTCATTGGATGTAATAGATGCTGCAAACTTGAAATTCTCCTAGGCAGTTTCGTATTTGTAACATTGTCTTCATCTTGTATAAAGAATTGAACAGAGGACACTTTATGAGGAAATTGTTGTCATAATGATAATTTTTCAATAGTACTTCACTATATTTTATATAAAGATATATTTGAGCAAAGTATCAGGTGAATATTAAGATGTCTAATAGACTATCTTTGTGGATTCCAGTTTGTGATTTTCTGAGTGTGTGTGATTGTATAAACTACACGGTATATTTAACATCTAGGGAGATATTCAAATTAAGTATTCCTTACAGGAGTGGAGCGCAGTAGTTACTGGCCTTTAACATCATCAGGCATCAGCTCCAAACAAGTTTAAAGCAAAAAAACAGTGTATCAGAAGAGAAAAAAGAAGCAGCAAAAGAGGCCCAAGCAGAAGGCAGTTTGCCCCAAGTTTTGCTGGCTGATGATAGTTTTCAAAAAGTACCATCCATCTTTCCTAGCGGTGTGTCAGGAAGCCTGCTGGTAACACATTGCATCCCATGTGACCCAAAGCATTAGTACTTACATGATGCACTACAGCTATGGGCATACTGGGGGAAATGTCGAGTCAACGAGTTTCAAAACTTTTGTCTAGTACAACCACTTTCGTCTTTTTAATTTTACATAGGACTCTACATCTCCATATCATCAATATTGATGAACTCATGAAAACTGTAAATTAATGAACATGTAATATCTTCACATAATTCAGACATAAATTCATGAACATATTGAAATGTACTTAGAGCACCATCTACTGGGAAATCTGAATTAATGAATGTAGCTTTCCTATCTCCTAGGGCAAAAGTACACTTATGTAAAAAGAAAAATACTCTTGTGGAGGTGGCTAACGGTAAGCAAAGCTTTCTTTGAAATTAAGTTCTGTGCTGCTATCAAATGCAAAAGGCAAACTTAGACTGCAATTAAAATTGCGCAGACTTTTAGAAAATAATTGCCCACAATAGCTATCATTAAATAAAGCAAACTCACATATCACATAAGAAAACTTTACACTCACAGTTTTAAAGCATTGTTAGCAATGTCATGGTAGCCCTAAGCTGGAAAAACTGTTACTCCCTGAGTGAAGGTCTAAATTTTATTCTTGACTGATTTTTGTACTATGTATAATGAAATAATATAGCAGTGTTCTGACTGACAAAATCTTTTTTTGAGGGGGACTTAGAGCTAGAATGTGGCTTGGGACAAGAAAGCCTCTAGGAAAGGAATTCAATATGTCGGAAGATGGCAACATTCACAAAACATAAAATAAAATACTTTGGAACAGTATTATTATAATTCACAAAGAATAATTAGAAAGAGGTTACATGCGAATTAACTTGGAGTTTACATCCCCTTGATTATTGTGTGTTTTTTCTTTGGTTGGTTTTGATTTGTTTCGTTTTGTTCTTTGCAGTTTCTGATTCCTATTCTGCCGTTCTCGTTCCAGCAAAACACAGTGAACATCACAGTGTACTTTGTTTAACTGAAGATCGTAGTCTGGC